ATAATAAAGCAATGTATTTTAAATAATTTTGTACTGTCTGAAACAGTTTTGAGCTACTTTTCTGAACAATTTCTGTGGTGTGTCGATCAAGAGTCTTCGAGAACCTTGTCTTTAGACCTCGCCTCATATTTACAATTCTCAACCTTATAATAAAATATCTAAAATAATTTTGTAACGTATGAAATAGTTTTAGCTCCTTTTCCGTATCGATCGAGATCCTTCGAAATTAATTCTGCGAACCCCCCGATTCAATCTCGGCTAATGCGCTAACCCTATTCTACTCCTAGTCGTAAAGTGCAGCTTTCATTAACGAATTACACCGTAAAACGTGTGTCGCGTACCTTCCATGGATTCTATGGTACAGGAGAACTTTTAACGCGATTTAGAAATGTAACGGGATAGCCAACTTGCCCGACTTTCGAGTCGACGTCGATGGACGACCTCGCCTCATATTTACAATTCTCAACCTTATAATAAAATATCTAAAATAATTTTGTAACGTATGAAATAGTTTTAGCTCCTTTTCCGTATCGATCGAGATCCTTCGAAATTAATTCTGCGAACCCCCCGATTCAATCTCGGCTAATGCGCTAACCCTATTCTACTCCTAGTCGTAAAGTGCAGCTTTCATTAACGAATTACACCGTAAAACGTGTGTCGCGTACCTTCCATGGATTCTATGGTACAGGAGAACTTTTAACGCGATTTAGAAATGTAACGGGATAGCCAACTTGCCCGACTTTCGAGTCGACGTCGATGGACGAGGGTAGACGTTACGAGGCCGCGCAATTAACCCGTTGATTTACGCCATCGCGGTAAATGACTTTGCCAAAAATCGACTTTGCCAAACAAATCTCTTTGTCATGTTTTTCCTACTTTTGTCTTAAGTTTAAATCTTTGTAATTGTCTCGGAATTTGCTGTATGTCAGAGTTAACCCCTTGACAATGTATTTACGTGACACATTATTCAGTTGAGACAAAGTAGACAAAGTTTGAATGTTATGTTTGTGACTGTAATTTTTATTCATAGCTAAATGCATAGTGTACGTAACATTTTAAGATTCTTCTGTAGTCTTCATGTTGTAGAAATAATTATCTGTGCAAGACGCACTTGTTCAGAAAATTGTAGGTTAAGGGATGAAAATGATGTACATTGGAACTAAACAGCTCATAAAGTAATAAACTTTCTTAATTTTCTTGTTGAACAGTTTTTTAATATTTCTAAAAACATTTGGAAATTTAAGTAGATTGTCCATGTACAAAATTATATTCTAGTATTGTTACAAGATGGCGACCAGTTTGAGAAATTGAATTTTTGCGATCATTAAGTCAAGTGAAAAATTATACTAACTTATCTACTAATTTATAATATAAATTACGTGAGTCAGACTTATCAAAATGATGCAAGGGGTTGATATAATTAAACATTATCTAATAGACGATTAAATTTGTTTCTCATTAAACATTGTTTGCTATGATCACAGCTTCCTCTGAAGAAAACCAATTCCAAAAAATTAAACCGCACAGGTAACAGTAACAAGAAATTCCAGTTATTACAAATCTATCGCAAGCTCACGTTTTGCGCATCGAATAAAAATTAAAAGATCGAAACAACTTCCCAAGTATTAATGGCCGGTCGTTAGAGCGTTAAGAAGCCCGCGTCGAGAGAAACGAGTTCTACTTTTATGTGGGTTAAAGTCTCGAGATACGATTCGGCTTTATGGCACTGCTTTGGACAAAACGGAATGCTTGCCAAAAACGATTTTCCCACACCCCATTTGTCGAGCTCCCCGTATCTCGACAATTTAAATACAACACCGCTAATACTTGCTCCCCACTTTAACCGTACTAATCGTACCCAAAAACGGTCCGTTTAAACTGACTCAAAGTAACATTTACAAAATGTCTCAAAAAAAAGTCAGCCTATTGTTCAAAAGTAAACGACCGATTCGATTATTCTCGTCTGGCAGAGATAAGATCGAGAAGCTTTGCCAAAAGCATCGAGAGTCATCGAATTTGCGATTGGCCCGTCTGACCGACTCTGGGCTACCAAGTGCATCGTTCGTTGTCATACGAGGTTACGCGCACACCGGTGCATCTTGGAGTGTGGCCAGCCAACGGTAACACATCCAACTACACCCCTGACAAAACTAGCAATCGCACGTCGAGAAAATTCGCGAGTATCTCTGCGTTTTAGTGGAACGTTATGTGATGTTCGTAGTTAGGCTGGGATAAGGTGAGTGCTAGGGAGGTTCATGAGTGAGGAGGTTTTTAGGATCGTTTTGTTAACATGCATTTGGAATACACATGACACATACATGTACATATACGTATGCATAGACATATACACATATGCATACATGTACATATACATATAGGTATGCATAGACATATACATATATACATACGTGTACATATACATATACGTATGCATACACATATACACATATTCATACGTGTACATATACATATACGTATGCATAGACATATACACATATACATATATGTACATATACATATACGTATGCATACACATATACACTGTACATACATGTACACATACATATACGTATGCATAAACATATACACATATACATATACGTATACATAACATATACATACATGAACATATACATATACGTATACATAACATATACATACATGTACATATACATATACGTATACGTAACATATACATACATGTACATATACATATACATATGCATGTACACGTGCACATATGTGTACATACACCTCCACCTATGCATATGAACCTTCATATATGCATACGTGTACATATACACACACATGTGCATATGCATGTGCATGTGCACACATATGTATCCAATACATGTACACACACATGTGCATATACAAATATAACCTTGTAAAGTAATTATAAAAGTAGTCTCAATATCTAAAAGGCTAAATAAAATCAATTTTGATAATTTCCTTATGAAACTGAAGTTTCAACAGCAAAATTACATATGTGATTTAGAGGCTGATTCTGAAAATGTATTATGGAGGAAATGTAGTTTGGACCAGCCGAAAGAATAGCGTAACCGAGGATCCTCGGAGCTGTCCAATCACTGTCCGTCGCAACGATCGATCGATCAAAGTTCGACGAACGATGGAAAAGCGAGCGAACGCAAACAATCGCGTCCGAACAAGGACCAGTCGATAAATTATTTTTAGATCGTGGAATTAACGATCGAACGCAAACGAGGACGAGGCGATCGAGGTCACCGCGATTATCCTGCGATTCACCTTGAACGCAGGATTCGACACCCAAGGAAGAGGACTCTGAGATAACCGCGAAATTGTGGTTTGAAAGAAGCAAGATTTGTTTAATCGTAACGAAACTTATCACACTTTCTTCGGGAAGAACTGAGTGTAACGGTCGTTGAACATAATAAATTCTCCCGTACATGGCTTCAATCGATATTTATAGAAGACTCTCAATATTTATAGCCCGGTCGACCTGATATTTATAAAGTCGATACGAGAGCGTGACATTTAGAAAAAAAAGATAAAAAGGAGATCGCTAAGAGATATTTCTGATACGGAGCCCACGGGATTCCATGTTCTGAAAAGGCCACGATTCTGTAAATTAATTTTATCGCGAGAAAAAGCACGATTGATCGAATACGTTTTCTTTATTTATTCGTACACGATTCGCAAGTTAGGATTGTTGTTATGCTAGTAACTGGTTTGATGGTAGTCGAATTTTTGCGTTTTTAGAGCGTTGGCTGGAGTGAACGATGTCTGTTAGGAAGAGAAGACAAGGATTGCCAAAATACTGAAGTCACTTTCTTTTTAATTATTTTCTTACCCAAATTGTGGAATCAATGTATGTACAAATATCTGCAACTTCTAGATCTTCAAATAGGTAGATTTCAAAATTTCTAAATGATGGAGACACTTCGTCGAAGTATTATATCTCTAAATTTCTGCAAATTTGAATGGGTACATTTCTAAATTCCTAAATCGTGAAAACACTATATGTCCAAATTACTGCATCCTCAAGTTTCTAGATCTTCAAATAGGTAAATTAACAAATTTCTAAATTCTGAAACTCCACATCTCCAAATTACTGCATCCTCAAGTTTCTAGATCCTCAAATAGGTAAATTTCCAAATTCCTAAATTCTGAAAACTCCACATCTCCAAATTACTGCATCCTCAAGTTTCTAGATCCTCAAATAGGTAAATTAACAAATTTCTAAATTCTGAAACTCCACATCTCCAAATTACTGCATCCTCAAGTTTCTAGATCTTCAAATAGGTAAATTAACAAATTTCTAAATTCTGAAACTCCACATCTCCAAATTACTGCATCCTCAAGTTTCTAGATCTTCAAATAGGTAAATTAACAAATTTCTAAATTCTGAAACTCCACATCTCCAAATTACTGCATCCTCAAGTTTCTAGATCCTCAAATAGGTAAATTTCCAAATTCCTAAATTCTGAAACTACACATCTCCAAATTACTGCACCCTCAAGTTTCTACAGCCTCAAATAGGTAAATTTCCAAATTTCTAAATTTTGCAAACTCCACATCTCCAAATTACTGCATCCTCAAGTTTCTATAGCCTCAAATAGGTAAATTTCCAAATTCCTAAATTCTGAAACTACACATCTCCAAATTACTGCACCCTCAAGTTTCTACAGCCTCAAATAGGTAAATTTCCAAATTTCTAAATTTTGCAAACTCCACATCTCCAAATTACTGCATCCTCAAGTTTCTAGATCCTCAAATAGGTAAATTTCCAAATTTCTAAATTCTGGAAACCCCACATCTCCAAATTCCTACGTTCCCAAATTTCTACACCCCCCAATAGGTAAATTTCCAAATTCCTAACTTCTGAAGTCCCACGTCCCCAAATTTCTACGCCCCAAATTCCTAACTTCTGAAGTCCCACATTCCCTAATTTCTACGCCCCCAAATAGGCATTCCCAAATTCCTAAATTCTGAAACTCCACATCCCCAAATTTCTACGCCTCCGAATTCCTAAATTCTGAAATTCCACATCCCCAAATTTCTACGCCCCCAAATAGACATTCGCAAATTCCTAAACTCTGAAACTCCACGTCCCCAAATTTCTACGCCTCCAAATTCCTAAATTCTGAAACTCCACATCCCCAAATTTCTACGCCTCCGAATTCCTAAATTCTGAAATTCCACATCCCCAAATTTCTACGCCCCAAATTCCTACCTTCTGAAGTCCCACGTCCCCAAATTTCTACGCCCCCAAATAGACATTCGCAAATTCCTAAACTCTGAAACTCCACGTCCCCAAATTTCTACGCCTCCAAATTCCTAAATTCTGAAACTCCACATCCCCAAATTTCTACGCCCCCAAATAGGCATTCCCAAATTTCTAAATTCTGAAACTCCTCATCCCCAAATTTCTACGCCCCCAAATTCCTAAATTCTGAAATTCTACATCCCCAAATTTCTACGTCCCCAAATTCCTAACTCCTGAAGTTCCACGTCCCCAAATTTCTACGCCCCCGAAATAGGCATTCCCAAATTCCTCAATTCTGAAACTCCGCATCCCCAAATTTGCACACCCTCTAATAACTAAATTTCCAGATTTCCAAATCCCTACATCCCTCCATCCCCACATGCCCAGATTCCCAAAATCCCAAATCCTGAAATCTCCAAATCCCCAAATACCTAGACCCCCAAACTACTAAATCCCCAAATCGCAAGATTACTTTCTAAGTCCTCCAATCCCTAAACCTCCACCCCCCTTCCAAAATTCCCAAAATCCCAAATCCTGAAAGCTCCAAATCCCCAAATACCTAGACCCCCAAACTACTAAATCCCCAAATCGCAAGATTACTTTCTAAGTCCTCCAATCCCTAAACCTCCACCCACCTTCCAAAATTCCCCAAATCCCAAATCCTCAAATCTCTAAACCCCCAAATACCTAGATCCCCAAACTACTAAATCCCCAAATCGCAAGATTACTTTCTAAGTCCTCCAATCCCTAAACCTCCACCCCCCTTCCAAAATTCCCAAAATCCCAAATCCTGAAAGCTCCAAATCCCCAAATACCTAGACCCCCAAACTACTAAATCCCCAAATCGCAAGATTACTTTCTAAGTCCTCCAATCCCTAAACCTCCTCCCACCTTCTAAAATTCCCAAAATCCCCAAAAGACTACCATTAACGCTCCCATCACCCACCGTCCCCAAAACTCGAAAGTTGCAAAGTTGTCGTTGTCTCTAAAGCACGGAACCCGAGCTTCGTTTAACCTACCTTTCTTCCGGCGATGCCAGAAACGCAAACGGTATGGTCACTGGGAGAACGGGTGAACTTTTGACCTCGACTCGTGGCAACCCGCGCATCCCACCCCCATCCGGACTCGTCTGCTCGAAATATTATTTCTATTACCCCTCTGCGTTCCCTCGTCGCAAGAATCTCTGTGTTTTCTCGCGCTTTCAATCTGCCCATAAACTGCAGCTGTACATTTTTTAGCTCCGAAGATTCGATCCGCCCGATCGATCGATTCAGCATCCTACGGATCCGCGTATTATACCCGCGATAACGAGCACGTCATAATACGACGCGGGTTGCATAAATGAATATGCATGCAGGCGGGAACGATTCGCTCGTCTTCGAAAACGTAATTAACCGCGTACGTGCTTAATAACGCGAAGAAAGAGCCCATCGAATTTTTCAGGGGAAGCATGCAAATATACGACCTTCGTTTCTATTTTTACCCTTAACCCTTTGCACTCGAAGATAATTTTACTCTTTGCAAACAGCAATTTTAAAATATTAACCCCTTCCCGTGCTTTGACGAGTCTCACTCGTGACGCACTCACAACTCAAATGTGATTAATGTTACTCAAATTTTGAATACTCTTCAACTTGAATTTTAGATCCATAATTTGCGTTGTCAAGGATCCCTGAATATAAAATACTTAGAACATTTTCATTTTCTTTGTTCGTTTTAATGTTATAGTCCTGAATGGTTAGTCTTGACTGACGCACCTCATAAATAAGTGGCAAGGGGTTAATTAAAATGTTAAATGACTTCTTTTGAAGTTATTATTTCTCTACTAATAATTTCCACTATTGTCTATTTCACTATGTTTATACATCACATATGCACTATTATAGAATTGATTAAATAATGCTTCTTTTAAATTATTGTATTAAATCGAATGGCGCCTAAGAGCGCAAAGGGTTAACGTAATATACTTGCATTATACACTTATTGTATATTTTATACTATAATATATTATATATTAACCCTTTGCACTACTTTGACGCACTCGTACTTCGGCCGTGATTTTTACTTGAATTTTTAATATGCTTCAATTTGGAGTTCAAGTCCAATTATAATTTGCATAATCAACGATTTCATAATAACATATTGACATAACATTTTTTGCCTCTTTTAATATTGTAGCTGTAATTAGTTCTGACTGACGCACCTGACAGATCATAGTGCAAGGGGTTACACTTATTGGTAGATTGAAGGGTCAATCTGCGGCGATAAATCGAGCGAAAGAAACGTAATCCGAAACACTCGAAAAGCTTTCGATCGCTTCATCGTTTCGCTCATCCGAGCGGAAGAAACGTCCTCGTTATTATATACCGTTCGATTCATCGTACCGGTTAATTCGCGATAAACGTTTCCACGCGATTCGCGTAAAAAAGGAAGCGTTCCAAATAGGCCAGAGTGTCGGAAGACGCGCCAACGAAACTGTTCGTACTTGAAATCGTATCGCGGCTATATAATTCATGCAGTCGATAACGTTTCCTTGTCCCGTTGTTTACGACGCAGGAGAGAAACGATAAGTTCTGTAGCATCGAGAGATTCAACATGGCCGATCAATGAGAGCCTAGATCTAATCATCGATCGAGTTTCAAACGAACGTAATAAATATTCTGATCCACGATTCGCTACCCCGCGAACTTGTCCGAAGGCGGCAAAAACACTCGCGAGCGAAAGCGATCTCGCTATTTCGAAGGCGTGACTCAAGGACGAACGAACCATTTCGACGTTAATGTTCGAAATCGCTCGCGCAAACACTCCGGTGCATAGTTTTTCGCGAGAGCGCGAATCGAGCATTTTCTAGCGGTCGTAGACTCGAAAACGAGCCTCGTTGCGCGGGTGGTTCGCGTTATGTCATTCGCGCTTGGCAAACGATCAAGAGACTCACCGAAACGATACACTCTGGTAGCGCGTTTCTCGCTCACTAGATTCGGCTGGTCCGCAAGTTAGTCCCGATTTTGGTCTCGAGGAGTCTGCACTGCGAGAGACACGACGGGGATAACTGAGAATACACCGTCTCGGACGTATGCGGCAAATACGCGATCACGCAGATACACGAGAACGGAGAGACACACACCCGAACGCGGCAACTTTCAGACTGAGGGTTGTTTCGGCGCGACACTACCGCCCCGTCACCCCTCGACCAACCAGCTCCCTAGACGGCGGACCGTCGGACCGACGGACCGCCGAAC